AGGGTGTAGGAACAAACGGGAGATTTTAGAAAACTATGTTGCCCGTGACTGTGGCGTCGACATAGATGGTTCATCCCATCATTTTAATGGAAGTCTATTCTACTACTACGTCTTAAGAAAGGTTTTAGTCCATTTTACTGTTAGGATACATGAACCAATTATTAAATGCTAACCCCCCACACCCTTAAGAGACTAGATAAACGAATGTAAAGCCACTTATACTCCTACCTATGAATTTATTTTGCATAATTTACTAGTTGTTAATTCACGATGACGTTGCACATGCGAAAATATATTTTACAAGCTTGTGTAAAAATACCTTGCTCTACGCGATACATTAAAATACGGTTATTTTTCATAGTATCATATCGCTGACACGCGCCGTGCGCACAAAAGTACCTCCTGTGCTTGTTTAATTAGCTTTGAAGTAATAACAAAATTAAATATACTTGTACATTTCATTCGTCGTGCGCGCGCATTTAGATTCAATTGGTTCACTTTAAGCACGAAATATAAATCATTATATTTAAATAAAAATGTACGAGTTACTAGATCATTAATAATAAAAGGATTACAAAGTTATGGGTACCAATTAAACGATATTTCAATTATTTCTCATTATACATATATGTATATATATATATATATATATAGGATATTCAATAAGGAATTCGTAGATATAGTCAATTTTTAGATCAGGTCGCTTGTCAATTCATTATAATCAGATCAAAGTTTCCGTATTATAGTATAAATTTTTCATAATAAAATATGCATTATCTTTCTTAAGTGATCTGCTTGTTTTACATATTTTAATGGTAATTAAATAATAAAATATCTCATAAATGTATATAAATTACAGTGTTAAAATGGTAAATTGAAAATGTAATTTCTGCACCTTTCATTCATGAATACAATTTTTATAATAGAAAATCTTCGTTTCGAATATATCTTATTTAAATTATAACAATTTACCTAATACAAAATTTTATAATATGTTTATAATTTTTAAATATTAAACATCTTCTTTAGAATCAATTTTTAATTTAGCAATAAATTAAAAGCAATCAAATTCTAATGTAAAATACAGCCTATAAAAATATAAATAACTAAAGTCTATAAAACCGAAGTTTTAGCATTGCTCCAATATCAAGCACATATATATTCAATTATATTAGATAGTACACAAAGAATACTTTATCACAGTAATTTTCATTATATTTTATAAGATTAAAATAATAAATTTAACAATTTGTATATTTGTAAATTTATAAATTATAATAATGCAGATTAAAAATAAATTCATCTGTATATTCTTAATATGTAAAAAGTCAAATTTATATAGCATTAATTTGATAATATACATTAAGGAAACATAATTAAAAGTCTGACGATATAACATTGGATTCGATCTTATTTAAATAGAAGGTATAGCATATTATTATACTTATCAGTATTAAAAAATTTCATGAATTTTTATTAGTATTAAGCCTATAAGCAATAATTTAAAGTGGAATATTACTTTTACATATTTTGATATTGTGAATATAATATTTAAAATTATCGTAATTTATGTGGCAATATATTAAATAAAATATACTAAATGAACTGATTATCAAATATATATTTTATGCATAATTATCGAAAATATATTTTAAGACATGAGAATTTTAATTTATTTTTTAATATTACCGCCCACTGTACTATTTAGGTCAGAGATAAAATCTGAAATTTTTTATTAGATATAATTATATGTTTGATGGATTTTTCTTAATTTACAAATGTATATGTAAAGAAATAATGATAAATTTTTCATTTGCTTGAATTTTTACAATTGAAATTCAATCAAACATTCTTGATACTAATATTCGTCATTTTTATTATTTCATTCGTATTATGCTGTTCTATTAAAATATATTTAAACTATTGTAAAAAGATAAATGTACAATGTACATGTACATTAATTTTCATATGCAAAAATAATAGATATAAACAGAGAGATAGACCGAGAGAAATCATTCTAAAATAATAAATTGTATTATAATATTATATTTGTATGTTTAATTTTTATTTTCTAATTTTTATCAAAACCATGTAAGCTACGAATTGATTTCATTGTATCATGCTCAATTTTATAATTTAAACTTATATATCCAGATAATTAGTATACACCATAGGTACCGTAAAATGTATGTGTGAGTTTTTATACGGATTAATTGAATTTAGAATCAGTTAAATAATTATGTTTTTAATTCAGATACAAGATATAAAAGCAGCAAATCAAATTTCATTTTTATTAAGTGTATAATAATTAAAGCGTACTTTCATAAAAAAATTAATCCCAATAATCTAATAATTCAATCGTTCTAATTTTTAATATTGATGGAATCACACACACACACACACACACACACACATTTGAATTATCAACTGATAATAAAAATTTAAAATGAAAAACATTTGTTAGTGTTTTATATAATTATTTAACTATAATTTGTTATTGTAATAATTTATATTATGTACAAACAATATATTCATGAAATATTTGTTGAAGTAATAAAAGTAACATATCTCTAATTTTGTTGTAACATGGATAATTGAGATGCATTCATTAGCTTACCTACATGTAAATTCTTTCATACACATTGACTTAAATTTTTGTTGTATCTGGATTTCATATAAATAATTATTAAACGTCAATAAAAAAGATTTAAAATTATGTTTTAAAAATAAAAACATAACAAGATTTATTAATTAATAATGTAAGGGGGTGAATATCTTAAGCTTTTGAGAAACTTATGAGTGCTAAAAAAATGTTTAAAAAATAATACATTTATTATTTAATTTGTTAAAAACTGAAACTAGTTTTAACGGATTATAATTTTATTACATATTTTTATTAGAAGGCTTAGTTACTTTGCTCGAAACTGTTTGATTTCCTGACTTGAACTGCCAATGTTTCAATAGCTTTATAAGAATTTGCCACCCGCCCTAGCTTGGGAAGGAGTTAAGTGGAAAGGCTGTAGGAATATACAGTGTGTACAGACTTCGTTAACATATGGTTTATTAACAATGACATTAGTGATAAATTGAATTCACTTCTCAAGAGGGTCTGAACTATGTTCGATGACAACGATGTAGATGCTCCTTGTTAATGGTAATGATATTGTTACTGGTCTTGTAAGGATCAGCAATAGATTATTCACACTCATTTCCAGTAGTGTGGTTTTTATGTAATTGAGGCCTTTGCTCATGTTATAAGGATCAGGAAAAGAGTCGTGCAAACCCAATTGGAGGGAATATGGCTTAATTACGTAATGCAGTCAGCACCCTTGACTGCTTGTATGTTGATATTCACTGGAGAATTAACACTTGCCTTAAATATCCATGCGGCAGCTTAGTTAGCTGACAACAATAGAGGCTGGAACAATAGAATCGTGGTGCTAGGAACAATGGATGCGATTTTGCACTTGTTTTTCCAGACGTCCAACGACTATTGAATACATGAATCCTTGGTAAGTGAACTTTGGAGTTAAGGATCTTTAGAACGTGTGAAAAATATACCATTTGGTTCGCCTTTATCTAGAAGAACCTTGCCCTTTTCAAGGAATCTGTGGTTAACTGGAAGATGGATGACATTTGTTAGTTTTTTCTTAACCGTGCGATGAATGTGAGGCAGAGGGCAGCCATTCTTATTAATTTATTGAATGATGAATATCTGTATATGATATCCCAGTGATATTGTGTTTTGGGTTCTGTGGCTAATAATAAGGTGCCGGGTGATGCCTCTTGTTGATATTGTTTGTCGTTCAACGTTGGCTGGAATGGCAATGATGGTGGTCCGGTCCACCACAATGGATGTTCTTGAAGTTGTAATGCATTTATGCCTCGTGAAGCGCAATCTACTGGATTCGATGTTCCAGGGACATATCTCCAGTGAGTGTTTGGGGTCAGATCCTATATTATGGACAGCCAATTTTCTACAAATTTCATTCCATCTTGATGGATTGGACTTTATTTATGTGAGTGTTACCCGTGAGTCTGCCCAAGGATGGGTTGCCTTAAAGTCTATCTTCAGCGATTATTTTCGATAGGAGTAGTGCTGCAGCTAACTCCAATCTTGGTATTGTGAATGGTTTGAGGGGTGCCACCTTAGTTTTGGAACACACTACTGCAGTCATAATACTATTTGATTCGTGCACTGGTCTGTATATGACTATCGATATTGCTAATTGGAATGTATCAGCAAACCCATGTAGCTCTAGTTGTGAAGTGCCCTTTATATTGAGCCAACGTGGTATTGGAATTTTGGTCAAGTTGGCGATATCTCTTCTAATTATCAGCTATTGTAACGACAATTGGGAGGACAGCGTCTCGTCCCATTGGAGCTTGTATAACTACAGCTCCTACATGAAAATGTATATACCACGATTTATATGTAACGAAATCTGCACACAGTATCTGTTTCTATAGCCCTTTCACTTAACTCATTCCCAAGCATCCGCTTTGGTCGGCGGTAAATTATTATAAAGCTACCGAAACATTCCAGGAAATCAAACAGTTTCGAACATACTTTTATATGAATTATTTCTAGTCACAATTTATTTTGTTTTAGAAATTGTAATTTATACATATAGTTTTCTAAAAAGTGTTTTTGACGATATAAACATGCAGAATTGAAATGTTCTATTTTACATGTAATTATAAAATATATAGAATTATTAATATTATTCAGTACTATTTATATGTTTACTGTATAAATATTTTATGGACAATATAATATGTAAATGTTTAATTATTATTATACTTCAACTAATATGCAGATATTTAATAATTATATGTATTAGTATATTTATATATATTTATATATTCGTATATTTTAAGTATATTTTAGATAGATTATTATTTTTAATTTTCATTGTTCATTCAATAGCAAGTTCATGGTTAATTGCCTATTTAAATAAAAATCTTGTAACTATATAAACGATCAAAAAACGTAAATGTAAATTAAAAAATTAATTATTATGTATATTTAACTATAAATATATTATCGTTTAATCGTTAATGATAAACTATTTTCTTGGAGACATAATGTATTTGATACAATTAGAAACAAATTTTAATAAATCATATATTTGTCCCCGTGAAGTTTTTATTTTAATAATAATAGCGATAGTTTTTATGTCTACATAAAATATAAAATATTTAAAGTACAGATTTCGCTGTAATTGATTATTTGTGATTAATTTTATAATATGGCACAAATTTAGTATTTAATATATTTTATTGAAACGTTTTTAAAAGTTTTATTTAATTAATTAAAATGCATATAAATTAAATATTGATCTATAATTTGAAAAATTTTCAACTCAAACTTTATATTGTTTGATAATAGATTTGTGATCCTTAAAAATGCATAAGAAAATTAAATATAAATAATTTTCAAAACTTTAAAATTGTTTAAAATAATTATAATTGACAATTTCAAATTTTAAACAGTTATGATTGAAATTATTTTGTGATGAAAATATCTTTTTATTAACATATAAATAAGGAGTAATTTTTAACTTATTTGAATTACAATATTTTAAGAATGAAGTATTGGATAAAAGATCTATTAATCATTAGTTAAGTAATAATATAACTACCTTAAGGTAAACATTTTGGCAGGATGACATAGTTATTAATAATGTTGATAATATAGATATTCAGATTGATTAATTAATTTACCCAGTTGCTTTGAATAAAAATAAAATTAATATGAAATTAATTATGTATTAATTTTATTTTTATTATATGTGATTGTACATATACATACAAACAATTCATGAAGTATGTCTGTTACTATTGAAAAATACATTTTAATTAATTGGTTAGTTAAAAAGTAGTATTACGGCAAAAAAACTTTTCAATAATATTTCAGAAGAAAAATTATGAAGATAAATGAAATTTCAATCGATAAATTATTTTAATTAAACTACTGAATATTTATCCAATGTTTTGTGTTGGAACAACATAACAAAACAATTATTTTAATAAAAATGTTTTTAGCTCACTAAAGTCTAGGTGATATAACAACATGTCCTTATGTAATTTAAATTCTTAATTAAAATAAAAGTGTCTTGATGCAATAGATATAATTTTTACGTATCATGTACTATATTTTTTAGATCTTCAAATTAATATTTAAAAATAGAATTTGGTTAATATTAAAGCGATGGTATATTACTTACAATTGATAAAACCAATATTTTACGAAGTCATAATTAAGGAATTGACCCTATTGTAACAAATATTATGCCAAATATTATAATTTTGAATTATTTACTTAAAATAATATCTACATTTTTTATCGTAATTTATAAAATTTTCAAATGTTTATCAAAAAATATTCCCAGAGCAATAAAATAAATGTATTTATATCAATACGTCATATTCAGTAGAAAACTTATAATGAAAGAAAATAATAAATTTACGAACAAATAAGTTAAAATATTTTTTATTTCTATCTTTTGTATTTAATTTAAATTATACATAATAATTAGGTACAGAACAAATTATCGAGGAATAAAATGAAGATTTTGATAATATGAATTTCAATTAAATTAGATTTTTTTTATGCTGCGAATAAAAACATTTATATAATTTAAATTATTTTTTTATAATTATAAATACTTTTTGTTGTAAAAATAGAATTAAAATATCGTAGAATTATTAGTTGTATATTATCAAATATAACTGAAGTAATATTATATTTTACAAATAATAATTAAAATTTATTTTCGAAATTAAAGAATATTTATATATCGTTTGAAATTGGTTATTTGATATTTCGCGTAAATCGTAAATTAATGGAAAGCACGTACTCAGATGTCAAACAAATCACGCCAGCAAAATATCCTTCCTTCTGAATTTCTAAGGAATGACAATTATTTGTTTTCTTAGTGTATAAAAGTGGCTGAGGGAGGAATGTGAATATGACACTAAATGTACTTTCAACGCATCATGTCCAAAAAAATGAAAGTTGGAAATTCCCTTATACATTCTTTCAAGAGAAGAAAATGAACAATTGTGAGAAAATAAGTAAGAAAGGGATAGAGAGAGAGAGAGAGAGAGAGAGAGAATCGCTACAGGGTGATAGAAGGAATTATTGAAAAACGAAATGCGCTGATTAACGGCCTTGGCAGTTAACAAACTGCCACAACTATACTGTTTCTCACATTTTAAATGCTGTTTTATACTATTGTTACTTATCCTCAATTATGACTAACTTCATGGAATGTCTTTCTGTACTAAAAATTGTCATTGCAACTTTTAGTATTTACAGATGACTTAATTTATCAATTATTTTAAGTTTCTCTTCTTCTATTTACTTTTCATTGTTTTTATGTTATTTATTCAATTACATACAAATTCTTTTAAAATGTCTACATATGAAAAAATACAAAAGTTATGAATACTATTATATTGTATGGTCGCATTTGATATCCTTAATATACGAATACAACAGCGCGAAAATTAAAATAAAAATTATCGTTAAAATATAATATTAATTATTAATATCACATAACTTATAGGCAATTCAATAAATGTATTTACATTTAAAAGTTTCTGGCTTCAGTATACTGAGTTACAAATATATGTTGTGATTAATGCAATTTGTGTAATAATGTTCTAATGCTTTTTATCAATATCGAAGTTTTATAAAGTCTTTCATAAATATTTTCAGACAATCTTAATCTAAAGAAATATGTTATAAACAAAAATAGACAAAAACTTAATTGTTTTATAAAATACGGTGTTAAAAGTAATTATAATATTGAAAGTTGTCTTTTCTTGCTTGAAAATTTTAATTAACTAACTAATTCATTAATTTTTTCTTTAATTCAATTTAAATAAAATTTTATTGTAAATACGAATTAGAATAAATAAGGGACTAATTTTTAAACTCACCGAATCGGTGGTATAATATAAGAGTGTATAGATTTATTAAATACTGCAAACAAAAAAAAAAAAAAAACAAAAAAAAATACACTAATTGTAACATTATATTTATATTATTTATTTGCTATTTGCAAATTTTGCTATTTAATATTAAAATATGACGAATAAATTATTTTACAGATAAGGTACAATATTTATTATAATGAATTCTGTTTTTACATGTAAAGATTCCGCTCTTATTACTTTGTAATAGAATACTTTGTAATGACATACAAATATAATTATAATATAATTTTATAAAGGTAGTTATATATAGCATAACAGATTTGTCGATCATTTGCATAGCTGTATACATTCTAAAAACTAATATGTGTAAACCGTTGTCTTTACAGTTTTTTATTTCGAAACGTAATGTCGTATTGAAGGAAGTATCGTTTAGACCCCAAAACACATCATTCGAACTTCAACGAGCTGCATCCGTTTCCAAGCACGTAGCGCTAAGCTTCAACCTCAACCTCTTTTAATTGCTGTATCCACAGGTCAACTACAGCATATTAAACATGACCTTTGGATAAGATGATCAATAGATCCGTTAAGACCATGAATGGAGTAATGAACAGAGATTGGAATTACGGAACAGAGCACGAGGAGCAAAGTATAGAATGGTCCTTCGTGAATGAGCGAGACAGATGAAAGAGCTCTCTGCTGAACAGAAAGAGGTGGTAGCGGACTCTTACGCGTAGTGTGCGTATACGTGTTTTTTATTGCCTTGTGTTATGCGCACACTTTTCTGATATTGAGAAAATTGAGAATTGAGCCAGGAGGAGGCGGATGACAAGAAAGTTCGGTGGCGGCGGCAGATGCCACCACCACACGTTAAACCGTGTAAGTTTAGTGTATATGCCTGCGTGCGCGTGTGCGTATTTTTGCGTGCGCGTACATGGGAGAGAGACCGAGAATGTGTGAGTGGGAGCGAGAGAGCGAGAGAGAGAGAGAGAGAGAGAGTGCACAAGAGATATTATGGCAACAACAAAACTCTAAAAAGGGTTTTTCTCGCGCTAAAGATTCGCTAGATGGTCGAGCATAAAGGACTGGAGTGTTTCGGTATTCGACGCAAAGGCAAGACAAGAGAAGCGGAACTCGTCCCGTTATTTCCAGTAGTACGATACAAGCTTAGAGGTGGTTTTAGAAACAGCAACAGCAGCAATAGCAGCAACAGTAGTAGTAGTAGCAGCAGCAGCAGTAGTATTGCGAACGACGGGAATTATCGCAAGGCCGTCGCGCTAGTGGCAGCTATCGAGGAGCTGTTCTTGCTATTTAAGTCTTTTTCTCGTCCTCGTCATCGTAGGCAACAACTACGACGATTGCCGCCACGGCTTTCACCGAGATGGTTGGACTGGCGGGCGGGGGAGGTCATCTATACCCCTCGCCCCCAATGCAGCCTAACCTGGAGCGTGAGTAATTGCCCAGGATGAGAACTTGGGACTTCCCGATATTATTGAGCGTTGCACTACAGCTGTCAAGCTTCCCTGTCCTTCCATTCTCCTTCTCTATCCCTTCTCTTCCACTCTTGCTCCCTTTTGAACCTTCCCTGACTGTATTTTTATTTAGATGAATATCTAATGTTCAATGTTATCAATAATAGGCCATTTGGCTTACAATGATTGTTTAAGTTAGAGCGAAATTATAAAGTCTAGATGGTTGGCTTTTTGGGCATTATTTTGGAAAATGATAAAATATTCTAGCTTTCTATGCCTAAAGCTTTATCAATTTATTAATAGCATTTGATGGATACATTCATTTAATTGGCTATGAATATTTAATTTGTAATTACAAGTGTCTTTATTTCCTGAACAATCAATGGTCTGTGTACTTACTCGGTGTGGATTAATAGGTATCACTAAGAATTTACTCTTCTTGATTAAACAATTTTTGTATAAATGATTTGAGTTTAAATTATAATATAAATATCTATCGCACAGTGGTAAGGCATTATTTAATATTAAATGTGATGCATTGAATCTATAGAATGATAATGATCAAACGCTGATAATTTAACATTAAATTTAACATTTTAAAGAAAGTCTTGTTTGTTATGTTTATTATAGTCCACCCTCTTGAAAACGCTTTAGATATTACTTTAAAAATCTGTAATTATTTTAGAATAATTATCTACACATTCTTATGAATATTATTTGGTACTAGTTCAAACCATATTATCTAATTCAATGATTTTCATTAATAATAATTATTTTTAAATTAAGTTGTGCACTGACAAATACTAGTTTTATGTATTGATGTTACAGTGAGAGAAACTGGAATGACTCCTAGTGCTCCAACAAGTGCCGATGCTTGTTTGAGTATAGTTCATTCTTTGATGTGTCATCGGCAAGGAGGAGAAAGCGAAGGCTTTAGTAAGCGTGCAATCGAATCTCTAGTAAAAAAATTAAAGGTAAACGTTCGCATTCAATGTTTTAATATCTTATTTTTTTTTTAATTTTATTAAATTAATAATTTATATATAGTTCTTATTATTAATTTGTAATGTTAATTGTGATTTAAGTTTTCCTTTATGAATGCTTTCAACAAGTGCTGAATTGAATTGAAGCACTGAATAATTTATTTTCAAATAATTAATTCAGTATTAATTAAATAAACATAAATGTTTTAAATAGTATTTTTTCATAGATATATATATTTTACTTAGAAACAATTAATCTTTAATATTTTTAGCTAGTTATGAATAAGTCAAATTTGCTTTTTTTAAAGGAAAAAAGAGATGAACTAGACAGTTTAATAACTGCCATCACAACCAATGGAGCACATCCTAGTAAATGCGTGACAATACAGAGAACACTGGATGGTAGGTTGCAGGTTGCTGGTCGGAAAGGTTTTCCACACGTTATATACGCACGTATTTGGAGGTGGCCAGATCTTCATAAAAATGAATTAAAGCATGTGAAATATTGTCAATTTGCTTTTGATCTTAAATGTGACTCTGTTTGTGTCAACCCTTATCATTATGAACGAGTTGTTTCTCCTGGAATTGGTAAGTATCTTTGTTATACACACCATATTTTTACACACGAAAATATAACGTTTCAGTTTTTTATCGAAAAAATTAATTGTAGATTCATCAAAATTTTTGCTAAAACTATTTTTTTTCTTGTGCAATAATTTTTACTTTTTTACATATTATGTCCATTCATATTTTAAAAACATGTTTTTTTTTCAATTTGTAATATTTTTCTTATATTAGTTATTTTAAAATTGTGTTAAAAATGATAAATTTAGAAAGCACATATATATTATTTAGTAATGACAAGTTTAAAATATTCATAAAAAGAAAACAAGTTTTTAATTATGAAATAATCCATCTGAAGCATGAGAGATTGAAAATAATTTTGCTTATTTTGCTCTAAGCGATAATTTGCTAAAAAAAGCATTCAATTAGTGAGGATTGTTACTTATAAAAATTAATAAAAAGGATGTGTTAGTTAATGTTTGTCTAATATTGTTAGATAGATATTGTTAATTATATTTTATTTAGTATATTTTTTATATATAAAAATTATATACTATATATTTTTTAATCTATTGGTACTTATATCTACATTGACTAATAATTGATTTCATAAATTGAGCTGAAATATTTTTTTATTTTTAATGCTAAACTATTATTAGTATAAATCAACTATTATGCCATTATAATTAAACTACAATACTTGAAATTTTGCTTTAATTATATTTGAATGAACTATATATTATTTACTTAAAAATGATTTTGTATTCACAAATAAAGATAATTTTAAGAAGTTGGTTTCTATTTTTTTTTAATATTTAAATAAAACTTTATAATTCAATTATCGTATGCTTATTCAATTTCATACTAATTTAAAAAAATATGTTTAAAAAAAGCTGTAACAATCCTAATGTATTTACCATAATTTAAATCAGTCTGAAGATTTTTTTATTATGCATATACATAAATATTCCCTAAGGTTTGATATTAATTAAATATTTCATTTTTATAATTATTTTTTTCTTAATAATATGCAAAAATGAAATAAAATTTTTTTATTGAAAGTGTTTATATATAAAAAAAAATAAATACTCGTGCTACCTATATTGTTTAATAATTATGAAAAAATGTTTATGACTGAATGATTTGGAGAATTGCAAGTAACAAATATATTCATTCGCTATTTTACTTATAATTTTTATAAATAATTCAAAATATCTTTTGACTTCTATTTGACTTATATTTCGTTAAAAACAAAGTATAAATAACATCATTTTATTGTTTAATAGTTAGTAGGTACAATCGATTGAATAGAACAGTCACTTGCAAGTTTCCTTTAAGGGATACCGGATACTGAAAATAATTTTTTTGATATTGATTTTTCTATTATTCACCATTTGTTATATACATTGCAATTTTATTTTCTATTCTTATGCAAAATATGAAGAAAATCTGTGTAAGAAACATAAACTTGATATTACTAATTCATATTTACATTGAAAGGTCTTAAACGAAGGTTATAATTCATATTAACAAAACAGATTCTACATTTCATATAATTTCTTCTTCATTACACTACTGTTAGTAATGTAAAAAAATTGTACAGTTTCAAAGTCATTATTATATATAAAGAAAGATGGTTTTGAAAAATAAAAGTAGAATTTGTTAAACAAAATGTGATAACAATTAAAAAGGCATAAATATTTATAATTTTTTTTTTATAAATGCCTTTATAAAAATTAAAATATTAAACGTTGCTATTTCGGAGTGTTTTGATATTGAACTTGAAATTGACAAGGGCTTTTTAATCGCCTAACATTTGAGAAACGTTACTGAAAGTTCATTTATCTTTATGTGTGTTATCCAACAAAGTGTTTATGTTCGAATAGTGAAGAGATAAGAATAGAAAATGAAATTGCTTGTATTGATTGCAAAAAGCGCTGAAATATTTGTGCATTGTGTGCGAAGAGATAGTCTCGAGAGAATTCGATCGGTATATGGTGAAGCCCTTAGTTAGCGCTTTACATAAGTTTCTTTCATCGTTGTCGCCTTGGTGTATATGACGAGACCTGCTCGGTTTCCCCGTCCCCTGCACACGCAGATCCATTCTTTACAGACCTATCGGGCCTGACACTACAGTCGGGTGTCGGGGTCGGTCCAGGTGGGCGTCTTGTCAAGGATGAATACAGTGTCGGAGGTGGTGGCAATGCGGCTTCGGTCGTCGCTGGTGTCGGTGTAGGCTCTGGCATGGATGTTGACGGCGAAATGAACCAGACCATCCAGCACCATCCGCCGGCCCAGGCACCGGCGTCCAGCAACACCCAACAGTCGCAACAACCTTTCATGCCTGGGCTACCACAGCCAACAGTCGGTAAATCACTCCCGCTTCAGTATACGATTATTTAACACGTTGATTGTGTGACAGTGTGATGTAATCATAGACTGCATTTTAACTTACAATGTGCGAACGCTACCTTACCGACCACAACTTAAGCAAGCAAACATTTGACGTTGATCGACTAATCGCCATAAGAATTTATCTTTATTAGATAAGCACAGATTTATTTATGAATTATATTAATTTTAATTTGCATACTGAATCGCTTTTATTGATTAATTTCATTAACATTTAAGTACTAAATTTAAGTAACATTTAAGTAGAATAATGGTGGTAAGGTAATTAAACACGGATGTGTCTTGGAAATTTATATCTTAGATAACAATAAACTGCACTGATTTTGTTACCTCTTTAATAATTAAATTTGATCATACTAATAAGAAAGGTTTAACATTTAACTTGTCATTTAATTTATTAAATAAATTGATTACAAGTTCGAATGATTTTTATAATTTAAAATTAAAAAGAACAATATTTAATAGGTATTATGTCTTGTTTATTTATCCAGTAAAATTTGTGTATTATGTATTTAAAATCCTTAATTAGCTTAGATTGCTGTATTAATAAAAAAAAAAAACTATAGTTTTGTAGAAAGGCTAGTTAATTATTGTTGTATTTGTTTCTTTAAAGGAATGCAAAAGCTAACAATTAATATAACAATATGAAATTTTCTGTTTATGTCGTATTTAGCTCGATGAATCCGTATGCTCACGCGTTTAATGATATTAAACAAAAAAATCTTAATTTAATATTACGTTTTGCATATGTTAAGTTACAATAATTAAATTATAAAACGATATTATATTAAACGCCCTGTAAAATAGAAAATGCTAAACAGGACAAAATTTTATTTTATCTTTATATAACGAAATATTTCATTGTAAAAATAATTAAATAAATGTAGAATAAAACTGCAATTTATAAACAATTCATTTGATTGCACGTGTTCTAAAATAAACAGAGGCAGTCAATAATCAATGAAGAATATCTTATTTATAAGTTAAATATGTCCCTGTTATATTTTTCCTTTATATAAGAATGATTTTTTTTAACAAAGAATTGTTATATTTATTTTTATATTTACAATGTTATAGTTATATTTACAAAAACAATATTGTTCAAGTACAATGTTCTTATGTAGTAATTGATAATATAAAAAATAGGAAACAAAAGTAAATGTACTTATGCATTCTTTAAATATAGTATAATTTGTTAGCTTTTGCATATGTTGCTTCTTTTTCACTCATAATCCGATCCCTTTACAACTATTTTTTTTTTATTTTTTTTTTTTTTTTTTTTTTTTTTTTTTTATTTATATAAAACTGTACACAGCTAATGGTGAGGTAATGTTTAACGGGGCAGCGAATAGTGCTAATCCCCGCGGCAAGCTGGAAGATAGTAGTTCATGCTCTCGGCAGACTTGGATTCCTACGCCGCACCATTCCTCAGCGCGAAACATACACCATTGTACGTAGACTACGATGCATCTGTCTTGGCTGTGCAGCTTTTATCCTTTTTTTATTCACCGTCTCTGTACTTTATTTTCTGTACTTTTTGTTTTTTATCCTCCCGCCCCCAACTCCATATCTCGCTTCTTTTCTCACACTTGCTAGGCACTTTTTATTTTATTTTACGCTAATACACGCTGATTAAAATATCAATTTCTAAATTTCTTATTTATTTTTATTCCAAGCAACATGCACATTTGATTATTGTAATTATTCTTTTAAATTTTGCTAAGTTGACAATAATTTTTTAATACAATAACTGTTAAAAATGAGAATTTATTGTAGAGAATATGTTGAAAGTATGATAATGCTCTTAGAATCATACTTTCAAGGATTAGCTAAATTTATTTTTGTGAGAAAGTTAATGCAAAAATTCTATTTATAAAATAAACATGAAGAAGATAATTTAAATTAGTGATGTTAATTATTTGTAAAAATATTTTCTTTTTTAACTGAAGTAAAAGTAATTAATACTTTTTTAAAATAAAAATTGAGGACTTAAAATTTTTTAAAAACTGTTGTCCTATAAAGATGATAAATGTGCAGATTATGATATCTTCAAATAAGTATAAAAATAATTTTATTTGAGAATTTTTTACCGTAACCTCCGAACATTTATATATCATTTATAATTGTCAGGCGTTGAATATGTACATTATTTGTCAAATTTAAAGAGAAATCAATGATCTTTACAATGATAGTTTATTTACCAACATAACTTATTAAATCGTAAGAATTTTTGTTGTGAATTTGCCATTATTAAAATTAGTATTCGCCAACTTTTTTGTGTTTTCAATGGTTAAACACGAATATGCAATGAAATATTTAAAATTATTTATAATTCTAAAATAACTAAGAATTAACTTCAATTTTTCCTTTATTATTGGCCTTAATACAATTTTGTGAATATTAAATTTTAGTAGTATACAAATAAATTATTCATAATCTTAGGTAATCAACAACAGTCGTTAAATTCAACAAGTGCTAATAGTAGTGGTCAAATTTTAAATTCCCCACAAGGACAAGGCAACGAAACATTTTATAGTACGACAACACCACCGCAGGATCTGAATCAAGCGCCATCATCTGTAGACGCTTTGACAGCCACGCTTAGTAAGCTTTTTTCATATGAAATCTAATAATTATATATGTGTATGTATATATATATATATATATATATATATATATATATATATACATAGTATAAACAATATCTTTATATATTAAAGAATTAATGAAATGCTAGTAAAGACATGTATTTATGTTATTAATTAAACTATTTATTAATAGACTATTTATTAAATAAATCATAAATCTACTTATGAAAATATGTGTTAAAAACAATTAATTATGAGTAGAAATGATATAACATATTGTATGATTAATTAACTAAGTATAATTAGCCATTATTAATTTAAAGTTGTATTTGCATTTTTTCTATTTAAATGTAATCAATTTATTATATTACATATAATATTTAATCTTACATAGACTCATAAAAATTTGATAAATGTAAAATTTTTATGACTTGTTGCTTTTTAAAACCTGTCATTTTTTTAATTACTATATCATATCATAATTAAAGTATTTAAAACATTTCGATTACATACATCGAAAATTTACTTTATAGTGAACTAAAAAAATCAAACTAAAATAAACTGAATTTTATGAATTTCTTTATAGAATTGGAATAGATATTTTCCCAATTAAATTTTGAATAAAGCGTCTTTTATTTTATTCATAATATATCTTATATTAAACAATGGTGTTTCAATTTATATACATTTGTAAATTTTTTGTAATAATTATTTTCTTTCTTTCTGCCGATTTAATTCAATTACACTTTAATGTGTAATATTTAACAAACCTGTACCCTCGTTTTTTGTAGAAATATAATAATATTTTTGAAAATAAGTTCAATAAGAAAGATGATAATTTCATATTTATCTTTTAATTCGTCGCATGTCTTAAATAATTTAAATAGATTATTGACTTCTTATAATATACAAAATCTAACATTATAATATATTCATCGTTCATTGGATTATCTGTATATAATAATGCAAATGAAAATAATTATTTGAATTTTTTTTATTTATAATTCTAAACATTTCTTTTCAATTTGATACAATAAAAATAAATAAATTATTCCACGTATGAATGAAAGCTAACGGAATATTAACTGTTATTTTTGAAGCAGTCAAGAATAGCGTCAAGCTTCTATAATTATTGAAACTAGTTTAAATTCTATTTATCTGTGAGAGCAATTTTATAATCTCTTAGGGATGCATAATTTTTAAATATTAGAATTGTACTTAATTTCAATGATCAAAATTAATTTACTTAACTGTTTAATTATTATTTTTCATCTATTTATATAGAATTTGTTAGTGATATGACGAATAACATTTTTTATAATTTAAGTTCTTCAAAATAATGTTTTTATCATTATATTTTAGTCCTTAATAAATATTGGAGTTGATCAACAAAGTTTGTCCTAAAGATTTATGTACGATGACATTACTATAACACTTTTATTTTAGCTTAAATTAATTTATATTTTGTTCTGCTTATGTCTTATATACTATTCAAAAAACATTTTTTACATTTAACGTTGTATAATATGCCTTTTTAAAAATCCTAATATATTATTATATATTTATTTTGTTTAGATATACTGCATTGATTTAATTAGCCTTATTGGTATTAAGTTTAATGTTGTTCGATGTTGATAACGTTCCTATTTTATAACAATTTTATATAAATTGGAACTTAATATATATTTGAAATGGATGAGTGGTTATAAATTGTGTATATATTTGGTATTTTAAAAAAATCAATTAAATTCATTGGTTACGAAATAATTGAAATTAATCTTTAATAAATGTATATAAAAATTAAAAAGTGCATATTTTATAAGTTATATTTGTGAATTTTAATGTCAGTACACCTATACTTATTAAGCACACATTCTACTTCAGATTAAATCATAATTGTATATATGCATCTTAAAATATAAATTTTATATTATAATTATATATTATACAAATTAATTTTTGTGTAAAATTGAGTTACATTTACTAAATGAACAGATATAAAAATGAAGAAACTAACAATAAAGAAAAACTGCTTTAGCTTATAAAAAAAAAATAAAAAAAAAAATAAAACTGTAAATTGCAATTTTAAACGCATATTTCTGTTTATGGCATAAATAAATCATTGTTAAGTAAACAATAGAAAACTTTAAAAGTGCAGTGTTTAGGTGTCTTATGTTTCAATGTTTAAGATTAAAAACAACAATCAAATGTTTAGGTGAATTATTAGAATTATTAAAAATTTTCAAACTTTTGAAAATATTCTATCATAAATATTATATAAATAAGTTTAGTCTATCCATATTTTATCTATTAAGGTTTGTAATTATTCGGAAAATATTGTATCTAATACTAGTAACTAATACGAAATAATTTTAAAAGTTTTAATAAAATTCATTGGCTCAAAGATCGAAAGGTTTTTGTTTTTATTCAGTAATGCTTAGTTAATATTTTACTTTGTAGAAATATAAAATATTAAATGTTTAACTTAGTAAATGTAATGAAATTTTCATTAATTTGTTGAATTCATGCTAAAATTTGACAAAATGTTTAAATTATTAAAATGATTAAAATGTAATCAAATGCAATTAAATGTTATAAATGCATTTACATTTATAATTTAATTTAACATAATTAAGATATTCCTATTTGACTAATTAATAAAAGAAAAACAAATGTTTATTATTTAATAAACAATTCATTATTTTTAGGATTAAAATTCATTTCCTATTCATTTCCAAAAATCAGAATTGATAATTAAAAAATCGTGAATATTTTTAAAGCCGGTGGAAGTCAAAGTTCACCAGTATCACCGGTTCATATTCACCATCAAAACGGTTTCGCAGTCGCCACTGTTGCAAATCCTTACAACACTGGAGCACCACAATGGACTGGGGCAAATACACTCACCTATACTCAAAGTATGCAGCCGCCTGATCACCGACATCTTCATGCAACTTCTTACTGTGAGTTCTTATATCTGTACTAGTCTTCAAATGTATTAATAAATGAAAATATATAATTTAATTCATTAATGGCTATCATTTAATACGCTTATTTTCATAATAAATAAAATATTTAAATATTTCAATAAATTTAAGCAATGTTGTCCCCATACTTTGTTCCCATTACCTTTCTTGTTGCCGTTTTCGTTATTAAGGTAGATAATAAAATATTTTTAAAGCATTATTAGGAATAATTAATATTATATTTACAATTAGTATTATATCTCGTCTAAGATACAATAAAATAGAAAAGTAAAGTCGACGTTGAAGTAGAAGCAAGAACATTTTTCTTAAAACTTGTATTTAATTCTGTTTATGAAATGTAATTATCATGCACATACACTGCCCAATTTTTTTATTAAAAATAAAGAATAAAGCTTATATGAAAGTTACAAACGATAAACTCGACATAAAAGTGTATTAATTTTTATAAGATTTTACACTATTACAGGGGGAAATCACGGAGCTGATGTAACAGGTAGTATAGGAGGCGGATTGCTATCGAGTCAGCCGGCTCCTGAGTATTGGTGTTCTGTGGCATATTTCGAGCTCGACACACAAGTAGGTGAGACGTTCAAGGTAAGCAGCGGCTGTCCAACCGTCACCGTTGACGGCTACGTCGACCCCAGCGGCGGCAATAGATTTTGCCTGGGGGCTCTTAGCAATGTTCATCGCACGGAACAAAGCGAGAGAGCTCGTCTTCATATAGGTATTAACTTGTAAATTTTAATATAATTCGATTTGCATTTTGACATATTTATTTATTCGTTTATCCAACGCACTATCGACACAGTTTTTATTTATTTTTTTTTTTTTCAATTTCTATTTCAAGTAATCTAATCTTTTGAGTATGATAATATTTTTTTCGTCTAAGTTTGCTTTAATCTCGCTTCTTCAATCAAAATGGCCGAAATTAACAGACTATTTTATAAAAATTGGTTGGTAAAATATTTTAGAAAAAAAAAGACTTTCAATTGGTTTAAAACGGAGTACGTGCATTATGCTATAAAAGCGAAAATTGCATTAATAATATAAAAAAGAATGCTATGCTTTGACATTATGTTCATTGAGTGCAGGCAAGGGCGTAGTACTTGACCTACGAGGCGAGGGCGATGTATGGTTGAGGTGTCAAAGCGAGCACAGCGTGTTCGTGCAATCGTATTACTTGGACAGAGAAGCCGGCCGGGCGCCAGGCGACGCCGTCCACAAAATCTACCCCTCGGCTTACATCAAGGTGTTTGACTTGCGACAGTGCCACAAGCAGATGAGGGGTCAGGCAGCGACCGCACAGGCAGCAGCAGCGGCACAAGCTGCCGCGGTCGCAGGACACCTTACCCACGGTGCACCCATTACCAAAAGTAAGCCTATTTTTATCGTTTATCTCTCAGTATGTTGAATCCTAATATGGTTCATTGTTAAAATAAAATAAAATAAAATAAAATTATATTTAATAAACTCGTATGGAGGAAATTGAATTCGCTATAATCATTAAAAGTATATAAAGATTAAAAATAACAAAACACAATGCTCATTGATAATAAGGATTGATTGCTTCAGCAAACGTCACTTTTACTTATATTCTTGTTTAACTATTTCTCTTAAGTACTAAATTATTGAAATGAAATTGAATGCGATTAATGTAAGAATATTTAGTGCATCGTCGTAAGCTTTACAAGCATAACTTAATTCGTAAATGAATAATAAATGAATAATTGTTATATGGAAAAAACAATTATTTAAAAGTATATAATGCAACTAATAAAAATATCATATTATTACTTTAATTTATATCTAGGTCTTAGTGCAGCAGCCGGCATTGGCGTCGATGATCTTCGTCGTTTGTGTATTTTACGACTAAGTTTCGTAAAAGGATGGGGCCCTGATTACCCGAGACAAAGCATCAAGGAAACCCCATGTTGGATAGAGGTAATCACATAATTTTTTATCTTATATAAAAACATCAATTCGATTTCTTACTAAAAAGTATTTTTACATATGTTTAAAAAAATGAAATCAGATAAGTGAAAAATTAGGATAGATTTATTATTGAATTAATTCGAATCTTTAATACACAAATTTAAAATAAAAAAGTTTGATCTTGGAAAATTTTATATATATTACCTGCGGTAAAAAAATTTTTATTAAAGTGAGGAATATATTTCACGATATGCCTCCACTTTTTTAGATTTAAAAAATATATCATTTCGTGCTTATTTATAAAAAATAATATTTAAATTATACGATAGATTAAAGAATTATTTAATTATGCATCCAAAATTAGGTGCACCTACATCGAGCACTACAACTCCTTGATGAAGTGCTGCATACAATGCCAATAGATGGACCGCGGGGCATCGAATAATGCTGAATAGCAGCAGGTCGTTTAATGTAAAGGAATGTGGATCTATTCAATTAATTTCCCGCTTCTGTTAAAGAAAAAGGAAGCAAGTACATGTTTGCACGTGTGCATATATAAACTCGCTTGCACACTTAAAAACACAGACGCAAGGAAATCCAATATGAGAAAAAGGCAGGCATTATAAATACATTTAGAAAATCTTTCTTGCTCTCAACTTTAAAAGACTCAAAAAACCAAATGACCCAGTGATGATGAAGAACAATAAATAATATTAATAAAAAAAAGAGGAAAATTAGGGGGGGGGGGTGAGTGAGAATGCTGAGAATAAAGCAAAAAAGAAATACGGTTTTATTGAAAAATAAGAAAGTGGTACAATACATATATTATGATACAATGATACAAGCCACAATTGGACACAGCCTACTAGACAAATTATAATTCTACGTGACTCATTTGAATGCTTCATATGTGGTGTACATTAATTATAAATGGGTGATGAATTAAAGAATTTAGTTTCATAATATAATTGGATGATGTACAAAGACAAAAAAGAATAAGATAAATTCATACAGCCTTCTTACTTACATTCGTAAATAAATATGATGAAAAACAGAAAAATAATCACTCATGTAAATACAGAAATATCGTCACGAGTAATGTATTTCGTGTTCTGTATTGTTTTGAAGAATGTCTGCAGTCAAACTTTAAATTTAACATATTTTCGGGCATTCTTATATCTTTTTTTATTTAATAATTGAGAAAGTACGTTTTTAATATATTTCAGATAATAATTATGATCTATTTTTCAAAAATGTATATTGCTGCACATTTTTTGAATGCTTCAAAAATTTTAATTCAAGAACTTTGGTGCTAAAAAATAGTAATTAACGAAAATAAATTTGTAATGTTCTTGTGTGACAGTTGTGCAGAATAAAATATAATAAATATACATTGATATGAAAATTATGAAAATGTTGAAAATTTACTTTCATAAAATTGCTGATAAATTCTAAAACATGAATAATGCTAGAATTTTAGTTTATAGGTATTTTTATTATAGATGAACTTTGAACAAAATCGAAACCATACAAAAAGAGGTCATATACTATTGTACTGTAGCTTACATTTTTTGGAGGTGGAACAAGCCAACAGACTTTTTTTTTATTGCATTTTTTACAAATAGTATATTATACTACGTTTCATTTTCGTAGACAAATTTTGTCAGCCTTGTACTGTAGTAATGTTTGTTCTGCCTTCAATTGTTTTTTTTTTTTTTTTTTTTAATGTTACTTTATGATGTAGTACTTGTTGAATACTTATATATTTGCTGTTTAATGATTTTTTTTATAGTATATTAGCCAGATAAAATATTCGTATATATCATATTTGGTTAATTCGATATGATGTAATGAGGAAAATAAGTATGGTGCAAATGGATGGAACTTTTTTTATATAGTTCTGCATCAACTCAGCCAATATACCTATAAAGCAATCATATAGTAAAAAGTATAGATGAAAAGAGACACGTACATATATGTACATTATCACTTAATTTGCATAGATACCAGTTAGTTAAATAACATGTAGAATAAGAGTTGCCAACTATTCTTTGTTAATCATATTCTTTCAATTATTTTGATCTTTTTGGATTATATTAGTTTATAATGCAATGGTTGTGTTTTGGTGTACTATTTGCAGATATATAGAATTTTACATATGATTTTATATTGGAAGATATATACATATATATCAATTGTGTGTTAATTATATATAAATATATGTATTAGAATGAAATCAATTTTAATATTATATTAATATTAGATTGTATAAATTTATGAATAAATATGCACAACATGGAATTATACATATTTTTACTTCTAAAACAATTTTATAACTTTTGTACAATTATTTATGCATATTTATTTAAATTACAAATCATTTAATATAATTAATATGTAATTTATATATAATTATCTTTCAGTTCATATAGTTTAGTAGCTGTACGTCTTAACAATATTTATCAAGATTATTTTTTTCACAAAATAATTTTAAATATTTTGAAACAAGCATCTGTATTTACTTAGAAACATTACAATTATAAACATAACTATTATTGTCATAAAAACAGCTCTTTAGCTTATCTTTATATTTCTAATACAACATTGCTTTCAAAAAAGTGAGACTGAAAAGTAAATGAAGGGTACCATGATGATCAGAATGGAAACAAAAATTGCCAATATAATATTACAACTTTGATGTTACAATCCGAAGAATATAGCTGCATATAATGCCTTTGTATAAACAAAAAGAAATAGATAGTGAATAAAATCTCACATTTTCCAAGAATAAACAAAATTATAAATAAATATACATATAAACACGTAAAATGAAAGTTTGAAACGCGAGTTGGTATGAAAGATTTTGTGTGGCTTCAGAAAATAATAATTACTACTACTAATTATAATATAATGATGATGATGTACGTGCCATCCTTTAATACTAAATAATAATGGGGAATATAAGATTTAGGAATTTTTTTACAAATACATGTATTTTTCACGCGCAAGCACATGAAACCTGGATAAAGCAACACACTTTTTAATTGTGGTGCTCACGCTATAAAATAATAATTTAAACTAAATAAGAAAATGAGAGAAATAAATAAAGTATCATAAAATATAAGGTTGCATGTGCATGTAAAATTTTGTCTGCAAAAAATGCCTACAAGAGAGAAGAAACCAAATTACAAAATTGTGAATATTAGTATGCTATATACATATGTGAAAAAAGGTGAAAGACAAATAGAAAGTGAAAAAAATCGCGTAGTTCACGTAGGAGACGCACAAATTTATTCATATAAGATTTTGATCTTTTACATTCAATTTTCAATTGATATCTTTAGAATACGTTTTCCTTTTTTAACAATTTATTCAAATATTATAAGTTATTTATATAACAAGATGGTATATGAATATATATTCATATATATATTCATATATACTATATGAAAAAGATATTAACATAAAATTATGTTTTCTACTTTCCTGATTTAAGTTAAAAACTAAATTTAGTAAAATTGAGAAACAAAATTATAATAAATGTAGATATAACAAACCTTTTAATTTGCATTTTTATGTAAAAAATTTTAATTTCTGCTTGTAACACATCTTTACAAAATTATTTAATTTTGTTTTATTAAAGAAATAAATGAAAATTTTTATAAACATTTATAAAGATAAACAATTTTTTTAAATGTTTTACTTTAAATACAAATGTTTATCGATAACAAATTAAATGGTTTCTGATACAAATATTCAAACAACAAATTATTCAATTTGTGTTACCTATTTTTTTAAATGCTACAGCATTTAATGTATGTTTCATAATGTATTTTTGTTTAATTATAAGATGCAAGTTAATAAAATATATTTTTGTTTTGTATATAATCATATAATTAGTCTTTTTAATCAATGAAAAATTGAACAAAGCCATTATAAAATCATTTTCAATATTGTAATATATTTGCTTATATAAAACGTATTCCACAGAATAGTAAAATTGAATATCACATATGTGTATACATGCGTGAACGTATATAGAATTTATATATGTATGTTCATGCGTAGCGTTTGGTTTATACGTACCTTTTATATCATACTATTTTTTTCGTTTTCCTGAGGAAAAGATAAGTAATAAAAATTGGAGTGTATCCAGTGCGTGATTCAATGAGTCTAGATAATAGGACAAAAAATTTAGTACAACGTTCATACACCTACTAGCATGTATGAAATCACAGATATATAATGAATATAAAATTGAGTATGTAAGCGGTGTACGAAAAAGTTCAAAACCTTGAAATTTTCTCAATAAATTTTGTTTAAAACAATAAATTTAATATTAGGTTTAATCGAATCTTGACCCATTTTAAATGTAATTATTTATTGTTTAAAATTATTTTGTAACTTTCTGAAAGATAATTTGTTATGTACATATTGTATATTACACATTATTTCAGAATTCAAAAAATTAACATGTTTAATTGAGCACAAAAATTATAATAGCACCTTAGGATGAAAATAAAAGCAGACTTATGAATCTTTTAAATTAAGGTCTTCACTTTTTGTACACCATACACTCACACCCTTAACACAGATACGTAAGTTAAAAATTACTTGTATACAAATACACACACACACACATATATATATATATATATATATATATATATATATATATCTTTGATTAGTTAGTGTTAAGTATAAATTTATAATGTAATATTGTGTTTCTATTTTGTCAGATTCAAGACTTAAGTGCAATAGAATTTCCCAGGAAAAATGTTGTATTTAAATTATTCATGATACTTTTTACGATTATATACGAATATTATGTAATATATTTCTATATAATTATTAATAATTTGAATATGAAAGATTAAAGTAAGATTGTAACAATTAAATGTCTAAGTATTGTTGCAAATAGCAAATTGTGTCTATTATTGTCATCATCTGAAGATAAAGAAATTATTTTTTTAATTAAAATTTATGATTATAAATATGTTCAAAAGGTTCGACTTTAATTAGTAATCATAAATATATTTATAATGAAATATTATTAGGCTAACATTCTTTTAAAATATCTTATATGTTAACATACATAATCATATATAAGCACATTTATAATTTATGAGCAACTATTTTCCAAATTCCCTGATCATTTCCTGAGGTACTTTAGAATAGAGATATTAAAAATATATTTAGTGTGGATGTCGAAAATTGCGTTTAATGTTTAAGTAGAATGACTGAAAGATTTACCACAATTGCAAGTAAGTTTTACAATTTATAGAGTAGTTGCTAAATAGCTATACTTCGAATTTAAAATATATACATAACGTTCACACATTAATTTTATTTTATAATTTGTCCTTTTTATCACTGTAAGATTGTATACTATTATGTCGTTTATAAAACTTGTGTAATTAAGACGAATTTTTTAAAAGTGTTTCGCAAAAAATGTGTCTGCTTTAAAATGCAAATTCATAAAGAAAAAGGTGTTAGTTGTATTTTTTGTCTTTTATATATAAGTAAAGCGCATTGTTGATTTGTATAAATAATCGTTACGGTTGTTTTACGTTTTTTAAGATATATGTTTTTGCATATTTTTCAAGAAAAAGTTCTTTTAGTTTAAATCTAAAGTTTTTTATGCGATAAAATTATGTTTCCTGGTATAAAAATAATCGAGAAATTAATGAAAAAATACTCTTGATACGACGTTGTATATCTTGATATACCTGAAAGACTAGAACTGACTTCTTAGCCGAATAAGATATATACCTGAAGTAGTCATAAATATAATTGAGTGCATCGATTTTCTTCATTTTTTAATATTATTCATTGCACTTCATAGATTCGATTAAAGAGAAATTATATACCTTAACAATTCCAGGGGCTAAGACATAGATTTGTATAATGTTTATCAGATTTAATTAATTTATATATTATCTATTTTTTCCATGACTGCATTGCAGTAAAATATTCACTAAACACAATACGTGATCAACTTTGCCAAACTAATAAGAGTATATCGATTTACATATTATTTTTGTAAAAATAAATTTATCAAAAAATATCTTGGTTTGAAAATTTATGAAATCAATTTTTATTCAAGATTTTTTTTATTTTTAGAAAAATCGTGTATCTCTACACCAAAGATGATCCAACGTTATATTTATAACTTGTTGCATTACGATTAACTAAAAAATGTATATTTAGTAAAAAATGTATGTGACTATTCTCATTAATAAATAGTGTCTCGACTTATATTAAATAAGAAAAAAATAACAAGTGTTCAAACTTAAAGAAAAAGCAATTCTAATTTTTATTCATCATATTATTTACAATGGATATTATATTATTTTGTCTGTTTATCTGCTTTATTTTTTATTTCAGTACATTCATTTTCATTTTCTATCCAGTTTCCTTGAAGATCAAGAGCTTTATTATAATCAATAGTTGTGTTTAGTACTTCATTAAGTACAACATCAATATTCTCTCGTGTTATGAACTTATGAGTTATCTTTTTCAGCTCTTGTATTTTTTTCTCAACTTCGAAATTGATTTGTTCTTCTCTTACTTGTTTCCTCTGAAGTGCTTCCAAAACTTTTAATTTCTTAGTTTCTTTTTCTGATTGTAATCGTACTTCTCGTTGATTGGCAATATTTTTATTCCATTCTTCATTGATTTTAAAATTAATATCAAAGTCTTTATCCTCCATTTGTTGAATAAATGATGATTCATATCGTGTTTCTAGTTCTTTTGTAGTTTGTATAAAATATTTTCTATGTTTAAAAGTTCAAATATTTGTTATATGTTATTTGATTATATAAAAAAGAAATATATCTGTTTATAAATGTATAGAGATAAAATTAAGTTTATTCAGTAAATATGTAAGAAAATTTTATTTTTAATTATTTACATTACCTTTTCAAATTATTTAATTCAAATAATTGGTATCATAATCAATGCAAATTATTATAAATACATAAGTAATTCAGTTATAATGTAATTAAATGAATTATAAAATAAAATAATTATTCATTAATTACCTGACTGAACGGTAATAAGTTCTGTAATTATTATAAAGTCTTCGAATTTCAAGTAATTCATCATTGGGTATTACTGCCCTCTCTGATAATCGAAAGAGTTTACTCTTAGCTTTTGGTAACCAAATAGGTTTTCGCTTCCATCGAAGAATTTGTAGATTATTAAAGTTGATATTGTTGAATCCAAAAATGTTTGCATAACTGCTTATTAAGGGATTGCTACTGATTAATTTCATTGTCTGCATTTTGCTTCCTATTTAAGTTAAAAAAAAAAATAAAATATTGAAATTTAATCAAATATAACTGTTAATTTACCTCAAAATAAAAACTTATAATTAATGCTGCTATTATTACATTATAGTTGATATTGAATTTGTGAAACCAATTATTTTATTAATAAATAAGTGTATTTGTCAATCAAGGTTATAAAATAAGTTCAGTTTACAAATTACTGCCTATTTATATTTTATTTAAGGCTGTAATGAAAAAGCACATGGATTAAATTAAAAACTATCTATGAATTAAATTCGTGAAATTTTGTTAATTTTTACGTCTTACACTAATCATAATTTGATAAGTAATTAGTTATAGTTTTATAGCTATGGATATACATTTATGCATCCATAATTTTCAATCTCTCTCTCTCTTTAGCTCGATTATATACTTTTAATTTTTTATTTATATAACCTAATATTATTTTTTTTGGCAATTCTATTTATAATAACAGAGTATATATTATACATATAATATTATTTATAATAACAATTTATAATAATTTAAAATCACTATCGCTACTATGGGCGCATGTAAAGTTGGACATTGTTGGTAAATGTAAGAAACGTTATTGTTCCACAAGCGCAAGTTGAAATCTTCAAGTCAAGCAGATTTAATAAGCATGTTATGGAAAGAAAACGTAATCTATTTTTCAAGTTTAGTTAATCGTTTCATGAAGAATTATTTATTTGCAAACAGTTCATATAATGATTATTTAAATTAAAAAATTTTTTTTTAATAATTAGTACAATTACGGTAACGGATAGATTGAATATTATTATATTATAATTCATTATTGCATGACTAATGAAAATGACTATAAATTACCAAACTCAAAAATCATGTATTTTCCATTTACTTACCAATATTTATACGCATATTCCTACAAATTTATTGCAATATATTGTAGTCAATTACAATTATTGTTTTTGTATTTTTGATTTGTAGAATAAGAAAATAAATCGTCAATATACAATTCCCGTCAATGTTTTTTGCTATTGAAAAATAACGATAAAAGGATTAAGCATTGTTGGCTACTTTGCATAAAAAATTAAGTGACTTGTATTTTTTTTTCAAATTCCAGACAAATATTTCCATAATTCATGGCTCCTTTTTCTGTTTTTTATATTTACATAGATTTAATTGATTATACTCAATATCAATCGTGCATTTTTCATTTAGATTTTTTAAAACGAATGTTTTTATCGGTTTCTATTCAGTGTTTTAATAGCACGTAAATAATGATGTTTCAATACCAAACGATCTAGTATAAGTAATATATATATATATATATATATATATATACCGATTATAATTTTGCAAACACTTTCAACAATTATTAAATAAATCTACTCTAATTCGAAAAGAAATAATTGAGAAGAATTATTTAATAATATATTCATTATTAATTACTAACAATCATTATGAATTATTGACACGAAAAAGTGTATGCAATGTTTTGTTTATCACTCTAAAAAAGCAGTAGTATTCTATTAAATTTTAAATATTTTAATTACTTTATTTATAATATTAACATAATTTAAAAATACTTAATAATCTTTTTGAGTAATATAGTTTATTTTTATTATAGGTTGGTTCTACCGAATTAAAAAATATAAATGATGTTCAATGTATCGAAACGATATTTTACTGTTAATAAGATTGTCAAGGTATTTTACTTTCTTATGCACTGAAGTCAACTTCATTAAACAACATATATCGTATGTACACTTTTAGATGTCAGTTTGAATTCCAGATAAATATGTGGATGCTTAGAATGTTGATCAAACAATGTATATTTAACATTATAATAGGTATTAATAATATTAGAATAATGAAATAAGAACTATATTAGCTTGCTACATAAGCGACATCTACATTGTGAAGTATGTACATGAAATTACATTAACTCTGCATTTGTTTGTCATAAGTGCAATGCTTATTAAGGGATTATCACTGTAAAGCTTAAAAATTTATTTAAACTTTTGGAAGTAAAAAAAAAAACATTTATAAATATATATAAAATTTAATTAATAAATTTTATTTTATATTTTTATGTTTTTTTTTTTCAATATTACAACAATAATATCACATACTGAAATAGCTCTTTTTTAATTTAATATATTTTACAGCTATTACCTATTAATTATAGGCTGAAATAAAATCAATCTAACACGCATAGATCTCTCATAGAATTAATTTTAAAAACATTGTCCACGTTTTCCTTTTTTTTTTAAATTTTTCTTACAATTCTAATCAACTTAAATAAATATCTCATTAACCATAAAGCCCACGTATATTTTAGAAAATTTATACTTTGAATATACCGTCAAATTTTTAATCATTCGAAAATCAAGCTATTTTGAAAGAAACTAATTATTGTTATGCTTTTGAATATTTTATAATTAAAAAATATTCTCCATAATATCAAACAAAATTTGACTTTATTCTATAAATCTACTTTTAGACATGATTATTTTTTGTTTTGACATAGATATTACTCATTAAATAATTAGCTTATATTATCATAAATATTATTTTTTTAAATAGTAATATTTGAGAATTCATTATCTTATATACAATAAATAGAAAACTACATTATGAAATAATCATTATTGTTAATAATAATCATAACTAATAAATGAAAACTATTAAATTAAATAATTAATAAACTGTTGTAAATTACTGATAACTTTTTATTCAAGTTTTAGATATATTATTTAATTTCGAATCTAATAAATATTTCTGTATTAATATTATAATTTACAGTCATTAATTATTATGTTAATAATTAAGTGATTATTTTTATTATATTGGCATAATTTACTTAACAATCTTTTATGCTTATTTAATTACGATTCTTTAATTAATAGAAAAGAAAGCTATATATCTATAATTTTGCATACTTTATTTTAATATACATTTCTTTCTTTATTAAATTATTTTATTTAAAATAAATTTTTAATTTTATAGTTATTTAATGTTGAAGAACTGTTCAATCGTCATATTTTTTTAACGTTCAAAAAACAAAAAGTAAAAAAACTAAGCTCGTTGTATTTAATAATATTAGACTAAAGTAATTTATGTACTCTATTTTATCATTTTATTTTTCATAAGAGAAAGAATTAATCTATTTTTCAGACTGTAATGATATTTAACTTTATTGGCCTTTATGTTGTCCATTTAGACATTATTTATCAATAATAGTATCGTAAATAAAATTTTCCTATCTTGAATTTAGCAAACTTTTTTGTCTGATAGTTTTTATCATTATTAAAGCTTATTATTTACTTACAGTAAATCGTAATTAATGTAGTTTTTCACCTTAATAACTGACTATCTGTTCACTCTCACTCTTTATCGAGCAAATGTAATTCGATGAATGCATGATAAATGTTCTTGAAATTTAGATTCTATATGCTTTATTGTAATATAGTATTTATAAATAATTTCATTTATATAAACTTAATAATAAAAGTATATTAAATCAAATAATTTTAATATTCTGATCATATTTTTATATAATTTTGTTAACCTACAATAAAAGCAATGTTATTAGGAAATATGGAGACAAATAGATAAAAATCTAAAGAATTGCATACAATGAATTTATTATTTAATATATATCCATTGAAAGTAGGCCGACTATAAAATCATGTGTTTCCACATATGACGAAGGCGAATCTCTGACTACGGTTTTCCATGTACTTCTTCTATGTATTCGCAGAAAGCTTCCAGGTCATAACATAAATCCCATCATATGTTATCGTCAATTATAGAAATATTCAGTTGATTAAGTTAGTAAATTATATCTAATAAAACGAAGACTGATTTTCGATGCTTTCAATACAGAATATAACTGTTACTGTGAATATTCAAATATTACAGAAAAATTTTATACTTATGCCCTGGTTCTGCTTCAATCATACATAAATGTATACTTAATATATATTTCAAAAAGTTTATATAAATTAATGAATATGTTTTAAAGAAACGAATTCAAGATGAAGAATACTATAATTACTAACTACTTTCAATATATAATGTTTATCTATATAATGTAATATAAGTAATATTTTAAACAGTTGCAATTCAAAAGTTATTTTGGAAAAAAGAAATAATGTTTGTACACGACCAATATTATATTGAAGTTAAATAAAATAAACTTTATTTTCGTCATTATATTTTGGGAATACAGAGGAATACTTGTATATAATCTTTTATTTATTTTCTATATTTTTTCAGAATTTACAATTTATTATAAATAGACCTTTTCATGTAATAATCTAATTTGTATGTAGCATAACATAATTGATACTTTCCAATTATAGATGATAATTTATTGTTTTCTAAGCAAAGAATAAAGTACTCGAGATAATTATTGAAAAATTAATAGAAGAGAGAATATAAATTTTAGAAACTGTAGTTTATATATATATATATATATATATATATATATATATATATATATATTCGATTAATGCAATGCAATGTTTTCTTCTTGATTATTAAATAAAGAATCTGGTTAAATACTTAAACAATTATTTCTCTCTATTTAAACATGTTTTTGAATATCAATAATTTTTAAATTTCTTAAATCACATCTATCGAAAAATTTGCCTGAAGTCATCAAATTTTAGATATTTGAAATCTATTTAAAATTAATAATATTACGTTATAATTGTAATTGTGTTTATAATTGTTCCTCTTCTTCTTCTTCTTCTTCTTATTATTATTATTATTAGTATTATTATTATTATTATTATATAGATAGTATCAGTGTAATGGCAGTAGCGGTAGTAACAATAGCAGTCTGGTTATATAAAATTTTTATTATAGATTATTATTGAGTATTCAATTATTTTATATATAACTTTATTGTTACAATGTACAGTTATCTTCGTTTGTACATTTTTCATTCTGATTAACTTTGTATATTAGATCTCTCATATTTGATTGGCTTTATTACAATATCACAAT